GGAAAATATAGCGTTGCGAAATTTGCAATTTTCAGTCATTTTAGATTACAAACGGGAAATTGACAGCCCCAAACCCTTCGAGGCTGTCAATTTCCGGTTTGTAATCTAAAATGACTGAAAATTGCAAATTTCGCAACGCTATATTTTCCGCATTTTACAACATTTTGCAACGAAACTTTGGAATATTACTAATTTTGTGATGCTCTTTCAAGCTGTAATGAAATTTTTGTTGAGATCAAAATTTAGTCTATTACGCAAATGGTCAATTGGGTATTTGACCCAGGGGGGGATTTTTTTTGGGGGGGGGCATATCAAATTTTCTTTACTGGTGTGAACGTGTCAACAAATTTACTTTGACAATTTATTAGTAGCCAGCTGGCCAATCACATCAAATGCTCAGATTACTTTGACAAGTTTTCTTTCTTGACCCATACAAACGAACAAAATTTGTACTTTGACAATTTTTTCTATGACAAGTGCACTGTTGAAAAGCTAGCATGCTAGCTTTTCAACAAGTGCACTTGTCATAGAAAAACTTGTCAATGTTGCGTGTACAGACGAGCAAATAAAACTTGTCACATAAAAACTTGTCATAGGAAACTTGCTCGTCTGTAACCGGCTTTAGTCAAGTGCAATAAAATTTAGTCAAGTGGAATAAAATGAAGGCTGCCGGTCGTTAAAAAAATTTAAATGCGGTTTAAAATGTATTATTGATATTAAATTAATTTACGTTCTTAGGATCAACTTCAATTACCAACTGCAGTGAATGCTGTTGTAAATAATCAAATGAAGTTATCAATCATCGCCTGCCTTTTCTCGTGTTGGCCGATTGCAATTTTTGCCATCATTAAATCGTGTAAGGTGAGGGGATAATCTCGCTTTTCCGAATGAGAAATGCACGGCTGGAAAAAAAATTTTACTTTCTGGAACCACAAGAGATTCATTGAAACTGACGTTTCTGCAAAAAATCAAGTAAATGGACACTCGGACACCGTGTGTGACACTAACAAGTTGTCAGATTGAATGTTGTATTTTAACAGAAAAATCCATTTCAGTGCACTGATCTTAATAATATACTTTCAGGAATATAACACAAAACTATAATTTACTGATAACATGCATCGATAACATATTCTGCCAGAAAATCAAGTGTCCTAGATTGTAACATGGTAGTTGCACCATGCAACTTGCATGGATAGGTTAGGTAGGTGACTCAGTTTTGCCATTAGACAGATTTAGATCGAGGATGCGGACGTCAAAGACGACGTGAAAATGGCGTCAAAATGGCGTGGCATATCCATACATGGGCACAACACGCCATTTTCACGTCGTCTTTGACGTCTGCGTCCTCGATCTAAATCTGTCTGTTATTATATTGAGATTGGATTTACGGTTAGGACTGATCCTTCCCTTTCGGGAAGTACGGCACTGCGGCTATACAGAGTCTCGTTTACGTGTATGCAATATCACGGTTGAAACCCAACGTCTCAATCATGAAGAAGAGGCTCTATTGCCAAGGTGACGTAGTTTCCAGAAGCGTTCAATCTCGTTCCCCGAGGATCGCAGGCTCGGGGAACGTTCCTTCGCGAGGATCGCAGGCTCGGGGAACGAGATTGAGAAGCGTGTACATGAAACTGAAGGCTAATTTCCACTCCGGATAATAAGCAGCCGATCGAACCGGATTGGAGGTGTTTCCGATCCGGTCCAATCCAGCAAGCGATTTCCAGTAAAAGGACAAGTGGAATAATCGGATCGGAAAAGGAAAAAATGGAGCTCGTTCCAGTCTCACAAATTAATATTTCGCGCTTATTTCAAAACGGCAGCGGCTCTGAACAAGCGTGTCCTTCATCTGATTTGGTTACGTCGTCGCCAGCAAAGGAGAAGCAAACAAGGAGGATACATAAGAAAAATTTTCGATGGAAAAGTAAATACCACTTATTAATAGAAAAGTTAAAGCTATCATGAATATTTTTGTAAGCAATTTCGTATGTTGCCAAACAAATTAATTTAAAGAGCTGTTGTACTCTCCGATTCTTGTAAATTCTCCAAGAAAGCTCCTGAATTATCCTCCATTTTGTAAATTTTATACAGGTATTATTTAATTATTTTAATTTATGTCAGATAATACGGCATTTTGATTGGTCGCCAGGTTCAATCCGCGGACTGGATCAAAAAAAGTTGAAAATATTTCAACTTTTTATTATCCGGCCAGCAACGCCGGATCAATCGGAACCAAAAATTTCTACTGATGGCGCATGCACGGATTTTGCTTTGTTCCGATCCGCTGCTTATTTTCTGGAGTGGAAATTAGCCTTGACAAAAGGCATTTAGAATTGAAAACAACAAAATTATATGGGAGTCCATTATACAGCATGACAAGAAAATTTCCTGCAGAGATTTTGTTAAAATTTCCTAGCCGACCAGCGGTGCTAGCAGACATGCATTTCCAGCTCACTTCATCATCATTTTCATATGCTGATGACTAAATGTTCATCCCTTTATTTCAAGGCAAGAAATCGTTACAAAGCTGGCGACTATGCCGGAGCCATGGTGTCAGCGCGAAAAGCAAGAAACTTGGCTTATGCCGCTCAAGTTTGTGGCTGGATAGTGCAGCTTACTGTCATGATTATAAAAATCCTAAGAAAGATGCCGCTTAAACTAGCAACGATTCGAAATTTCTGGCTGCGGGCATTATTAGAATCTAACAGTTTGACTTTTTAAAATTGTTGTATTTTCGAACAAAACAACATGCAGTAAATAGGGTTAGGTTAAAACGCGGAAGCGGATGCGGAATGGATGCGGAACGGATATGCGGAACGGAACGGAACGGATATGGGGTAAAATGCGGAACGGAACGGAAATGCGGAACGGAACGGAACGGATATGGGGTTAAAATGCGGAACGGAACGGAAATGCGAAACCGCATATTCCGCATATCCGTTCCGCATCCGTTCCGTTCCGCATCCGCTTCCGCGTTTTAACCTAACCACAGTAAATAGTTGTATTTATTATAATGACAAAATTACTGCGATCTGATTGGTTAAGAGAAGTGCAATTATTTCATTAATTGCGCTGTCCAGGGGAGCTGGAAATCAAAACAACAAAAATCCAATATGGTTGCGAAATTTATCTTGTATAAATAACAAACGTGGACGAATTTAACTAAATTTTGGCACAAGAATAAGTTTAAAAAACATAGTATGGCAAAAACAGCCTCTGGAAAATACCTGGAAACAGTTTAAGAAATAATCTCGAGATGCAGCGAAACGTGACTATGTAAGTTTGTAATACAATTTATAAAGATTTTCTTACTCTATAAAAGAATGACGTAGAATCCGGAATCCATGACGTAGAATCCGGAATCCATTGACTCGGATCCGGAATCCATTATTTAATCATGGAATACGGAATCCAGCTTTCATACTTTATAAAATATAATGGTTTTGTAGCGTGACACATCAAACCCTCTGCATCAAATCTTAACGTACGTGATCTAATTAAATTCATGCAATACAAGTATCCCCGCCTCATAAAATTTACATGGTGTTAATGAGAACAAACAAACTAACTCTGAATTATGCACTTGGGCGCAACAGGAGCGCGCAAATTTGTTGACTACCTCGCCGAAATAATTGAATCTTTAGTCGAATTACTGGTGCGTTGGAAACACTGATCGTTTTTGACTGTTTTTGCCAAGATATTGAGTCGAATTGAAACATATTTATAAAAATGACCGGAATAGACGACTATTGAGGGTGGGAAAGGGTAATTTTCGTGAGTCATGAATGGTCAATATTTGTTCGTGCGAAATGTTTGACTTTAGTGTCGCGAAATGTGGTTTGTTCTATAGCCGTGAGGCGTGATTGTCGATAAAAATGCTCCGTGAAATGAGAATTAAGGATGTCTGTTTTGTGAACTGTGATTTTACTTTGTTTATTTCAATCTATTCTATAAAAGTCATAATAGACATAATAGCGATAATAATTGATATGATCGATGTCACTCGATTGCATTGCGCAAGAGCAAAAATTTCTATTTATTAGCGAGTGAGAAATAGGCCTACCAACATGGCCGCCCACCCTGGGGGGTAACCGCTGGAATATCCTTGGCTTCAACTGATTTTACTAAAGGAGATGCGCTATCTATAGTGTATATAAGATATCTATGAGTCCAATGCTCTACCAACTGAGCTATATACAAGGTCAAGTAGAGGTCCGAGTGCGTGATATTTCGGATCTCAGTCTAGTTCATCTTTTTTAAAAGTCTTAGTTTATTATTTGTCTATACACTCTGTTGTTGAATCCGATCATTCCAGTAGGCCTATATTCATGCATGTAGCCTGCATGTAGTTCAATCTTTGTGATCTATATATCACAATTAATATATAATTCAAGTCACAAGCTAATATTACTTAACTGTTTTCAAAACAATATATCGAGCATTTTTCGCATCTAGGTATAATTTATAGGCTTCAATTAACGCGCCATTATTGTATAGTCATCAGAACGATCATTACAGCGCTGAAGCTCACAAAGGTTAAAGCCAACAGTCCATTTAATGGACCATTTGCATTATAGACAATGGACCATTTGCATTTTGATCTAGACAAATATTCCATCACAGCTTGAAAGAGCATCACAAAATTAGTAATATTCCAAAGTTTCGTTGCGAAATGTTGTAAAATGCGGAAAATATTGCCTTGCGAAATTTGCAATTTTCAGTCATTTTAGATTACAAACGGGAAATTGATGCCCCAACACCCGATTGGGCTGTCAATTTCCCGTGCGTAATACAAAATGACTGAAAAACGGCAAACTTCGCAGGGCTATATTATCCGCATTTTACAACATTTCGCAACGAAACTTTGTAATATTACTAATTTTGTGATGCTCTTTCAAGCTGTGATGGAATTTTTGTCTAGATCAAAATTTAGTCTATAATGCAAATGGTCCATTGTGTTGTCAATTGTTGCAGAACACTAAGCGTGGGCATGCTTTTAACAAATATTTTTTAGATTATAAAATCTAGAATGTACGTGTGCATACATAAATCATTTTTCTTGCAAGACGCATTGGAATCAATCCTTTGAAATGTTTTCTGTTGTAGCAAAGAAAGCTTTGCTCAATTCTATGTTCAATTCAAATTATTTGGCGCGTTTTGGCTTTCTACACTCGATGAAACAGTTAATTAAAAAATGCTAGTCATTGAATGTTTAAAAATATTCTACTCCTAATTAAAAACGAACTGTGCGATTTAGTCGCTGCATATTTTGCATAAAAAAAACGAGGACACGTTGCACCGTTGAGAGGCCCTTCCGTTACTGATCTTTATTCTGTGGTAAAGCCAATGTCTATGGAAGCCCAAAGTTGTTTGCTAATTTAATTACAACTCTATATTCACGCTGTGTATCGAATATTAGGACACTTTCCTCTATTTTTATCATTTTTACGGTAAGTGTTGCTAGAACATATATATTACGCTCCCCTTCACTAAATAAAGATGCCTAGTGGATTTTGTAAATATATATATATATATATATATATATATATATATATATATATATATATATATATATATATATATATATATATATATATATATATATTTATATATTCAACAGGCTGTTGTGCATCATAAGCGTAGCTAAACAGTTCGATTTTTACATAGGAAGAAAGAGCTGTTATTTAGCTTTTCTATGACACCTTGGTGTTTATGTTTCGTTTTCGATGCAATTCCCAAGAATGTGATTTCGACCAGCAATTTTTATTTGATGAGTATGTGGCCATTTCTCATCGTTACGACTTAAAAAGAGTATCATTGAAAAGCTAAATAACTGTTCTTTCTTCCTATGTAAAAATTGAATTGTTTAGCCTCGTTTATGATGAACGACAGCCTGTTTAATTTCCGTAGCGTTTTTTTTCAGACACCCTGTATATATATATATATATATATATATATATATATATGTATATATATATATATATATATATATATATATATATATATATATATATATATATATATATATATATATATATATATATATATATATATATATATATATATATATATATATATATATATATATATATATATATATTACTAGACGCATTGGAGTCATCTAAGAATAAAACAAGATTTCATCGTCTTTAGAAACCCGAGGAGTTGTTCCCTACGTTATTGAAGAAAACTCGGCTTTGAAAAAGCTATAACACTATCGTGTTGTGAATTAGCACTTGTTTTTTTCTCTTTTCACTTTGTATACGGTAAGTGTCAATTCAGATTTTTAGTGTTTTTAGTATTTCGATTTGATTTCGCCAAATTAAAGTTGATTAATAAAATGTATTATATTGATATTATCATTGAATTTACCCCTTAACGAGTAAAATCGTCTGGCATTCGACAGACTATACCGATAGGATGAAAGCCGTGCAATGCAACTTAATCGGTTAACGAGACACATGCCATGGGCAGATATTACTTTGATGAACCCATTGAGCTAGCTGGTGCGCTCTCATCTTGACGAGTATACAATCGTCTGGCATTAAACAAAGACATGCAGTACGTAAAATAATAAAGTATATAGGGCCCTTTGCAACTTAATCAAATAATTTATTGCAGATCGAATTAGAGACTATCGGATCCACATTATCAGTTCTCCTGTCAATTTAAATCTCGGCAGGGTTCAGGGACTGGATTTAGAAAAGTTTTGAACTAAGACTTAACTTAAGGCCGTTCTTCATCCGTGCGTATACAGTTATTTCAATTAAAGTTGTCCATGCATACACGAGCAAAGCGGAAAAGTCGAATATGAGCGGAAAAGTCGAATACGAGCGCGGAAAAGTCGAATACGAGCGCGAAAGGCTGCTGGGAATCGCTAATAAATTCCTGGGAATCGCTAATAAATTCATTCATTTATTAGCGATTCCCAGCATGCAGCCTTTCGCGCTCGTATTCGACTTTTTCGCTTTGCTCGGGGGACAACCTTGATTGAAATAGCTGTACACGCACGGAAAAGTTTAAATCCATGCAATTAGAGTTTCTTGTGAAATAACTAATTGAATAAAACCATAGCATCTAGACGGTATAGGCCTATATATACCAGTCACCTTTGAGCGCGATGTTATAGTTAATGTTATCATACTTTAATATATAATCTTCGTTCACTGTACAAAATACACGCACGCCATTGGTCAAAATCGATCACGTGTGTTTTTGTTACCTGGCAACAACGAATTCGGCGAGTGCACTATTGACAATAACGCATAAAAAACGTGCATTATTGAAAATGGCTTCCCGCAAGGCTGTCGGTTCAAGGTTTACACGAGTCAGTGAAGACGAAATTAAATCAAATTGTACATAATGCAGTGTCTAAAAGTATAAAAAGCCAAACAAACTGGTGCAACAAGGTAAATAAACGAAGCAAAAGCTGACTTTTCACGATTTTGTCGCGTGTAAAATTCCTGCTTAAAAAGTTTAGTTGGGTTTTTCATTGTATTCGCTGTCTTGTTTTAAAAACAGTTGTACGCAATTATTTTGCAATGTACTTAAAATTAGACTATTGGCAAAAACTTATGATGAAAATGTGTTAGTAAATGTTCTTTTCCAAACTGGAATTGCTTTGTTTTAATTTAATTTAATTTTGTTTTGTTTTGTCTACAAAAGGCGTACAGTAATTGCATGCAAGCAGTGAACTCAAATAATATATTAAATGGGTTAGAGACTTTAAGTTCGTGTTTTGTTTACAAATACATGCACTTGCTGACTGTACAATGAACTCGAAATTTTCAATACTGCACTCGGCTTCGCCTCGTTCAGAATTGAAAATTTCTCGTTCATTGTACAGTCAGCTCGTGCATGTATTTGTAAACAAAACACTCACATCAGTCTCTAACCCTTAAATAACAAAGTATTTCTTCTCTGTCAATAACAATGACAGAGTTACCGCTCAAACTTACCTCAGTTTTCCCCAAGTGTCAGCACTTCTGAACTGTCGACTTCATCTGCTGCCCTGTGAAGCCTCCAAGAGAATTAACCCAACAATAGCGTGATTTCATCATTTTCATTCTTTCCACTTTCTATAGAAACAAATTAGAATATTCATATACATAACATGGACGGTGGATCTTACCCGATGCAAAACAAATCTCGGCAAGTACAGGGCGGCCATATGCCTTCAGCACCACCGGATTACGTGGCGAGTGTACACCAACCAGCGGAAGGAATTATACAAGCGCCCGTGATACCATACAACAACGCGTATGTCGAGCAGCCGAGTGGCGACACAGTTGTTCTTATAGTAAGCACAATAGACAATTCCCATTAAAGACTAATTTTAAAACTAGGCAAGGAGATGCAAATAAATCCGGCACCAGAGCTAGAAAGAGCATACGAAAACGAGTACCATTTTCAAATAAAGTACCATTTTCGGCCCAATTGTGGTAGCAATTTCCGCATGCACGTATATAATACAAAAGTATACAAAATTTGCAAACTTTGCAAGGCTATATTATCCACATTTTACAACATTTCGCAGTCCAACATTGCAATTTTACTCATTTTAGTACGCTCTTTCTAGCTGTAGTGGTTTATTTGCAGAATATTGCAGTTATAGTTTTTTCAATTAAAAGGGCTGAAATGCGCCTTAAAAACCATCAATCAAAAGCTTTTTGCGTTTCTCCAAATTGGTGAATACTAACCGTAACCATGCACGAAATGTTTTTCTTTCACAAAATAATTTAAATTTATGTTGCTTTGCAGCCCTCACAAGCAACAGCTGGATATATCAGAGACCATATGGGTCTATCAATTTGTACCTGTCTCTGTTGCTTTCCGCCTGTTGGAATCGTCGCAATTGTGTTGTCATGCATGGTAAGGTTAATTGCGACACTATATATGACGTCACATTGTATAATGACTTTCTGAAAAAACTTGGATATCGCGCATCGAAAAGATAAAACTGTGCATATACATGTATGTGCTATGTCAACATATACTGCAGCAAATATATGTCAAATATATATATATATATATATATATATATATATATATATATATATATATATATATATATATATATATATATATATATATATATATATATATATATATATATATATATACAGCAAGCCATTATGCGATTTGGTGTCATGAGAAAAATTTGCATATCCATCGTTAAATATCTGACAAGGCAAAGTAATCGTCAGTTCTGAAATGCTTTGAAATTTGAAAACCTTTAATT